TGTCTTACTTGCAAGATCCAAACAAGGTTGTTGACCATGCAGTCAAGTTTAGAGGAAAGAGCTATGTAGTTTTGGATGGGACCTTGTATAAACACAGACCTGATGGGTTATTATTGAAATGCTTGGGGGCAAGGAGGTGTTGCAAGCCATGGCAGAGATGCACGAAGGAATATGCGGAGCCCACCAAGCTGGTCTTTCCATGCGATGGATTCTACATCGCTACGGATTCTACTGGCCCACCATCGGGCCAGATTGCGCCGCATATGCCAAGGGCTGCGAGGCTTGTCACGTCGCGGTCCCGTTCAAAGAGCGCCAGCGGTAGATCTGAAATCCATAATCAAACCGAGACCGTTTTATGGTTGGGCCATGGATTTGATTGGTATGATTTATCCTCCATCTTCAAAGAAACATGTTTTCATAAGTTTGGCCACTGACTACTTCACTAAGTGGGTGGAGGCCAAACCGTTGAAGGTGGCGAACCAAGAGGAAGTGATTTCTTTCATACAAGAACACATTATCCATCGATTTGGTTTGCCATCAACAATAACGGCGGACCAAGGGACTGTGTTCACTGGGGGGCAAGTTATGGAGTTCGCGGCGGAGCGGGGGATAAAAATTATCCATTCCACGTCGTATTATGCACAAGCTAAAGGACAGGCGGAAGCATCCAACAAGGTCGTGAAAAATATTTTGACGAAGATGATTGAGGATAATCCGCGATGTTGGCATGAAATTTTATCAGAAGCGTTGTGGGCATTCATGATGTCCCCGCTGAGCAGTACGATAGTGAGTCCATTCTCGTTAACTTACGGTCATGAAGCATTCCTTCCCATGGAGGTGACCGTCAACTCACTCCGGTATATGAAGCAGCACGAGTTAACACCTGAGGAGTATCATGAATCAATGATGCTTGAGCTATGCGATCTTGATGAACTTCAACTCCGCGCCCTCGATAATGTTCAAGTACAGAAAGCAAGAGTGGCAAGAGCTTATAACAAGAAGGTTTGGCACAAATCATTCGAGGAGGGCAAACTGGTTTGGAAAGCTCACTTGCCGATGGGGGAAAAAGATCCCAAGTTTGGAAAATGGTCGCCAAATTGGCATGGACCATTTGTGGTACATTCTGTGCGTCCTAATGAAGCGTACCTGCTGAAAGACTTAGATGGAGTGATGCATGAGCTTTTGATAAATGGAAAATATTTAAAGCCATATGTGTCGTCCCTATGGGACGCAACTGGTCATTAATCGGGGCAATGACGATCAACCATGTGCTAAAAGGACGTGGCCTCGTCGGCCACCAAGCTTGCATCATGGTTGAATAGTACGGGAATGGCGAAGTATGCAACATATACACTAATTTTCCAGCTTCATTACTAATAAAGAAAAATTTTAATGCCTTTAAGGCCAGCGGAAGGGTTCACTCAAGTCCAGCCGGTTTGGTACCGCTGTTCGGTACCAAAATGTTCCTATCTTATCAAACGAAGCCGTTTTTGCCACGAGAAGTAGGCATGGTTAACAGTGTGGTTTGGCATAAACGATTTGGTACTTGGCATAGGAAAAATTAAGAATGCTATCGTAGGCTAGAACTAGTTAGTCGGCCATGCTCAAACACAGTCATCGAGGTTAGAGTGGGGCTGCGGGTTGAAGAAAAGAGAGCAAGCGTTTGCCAAAAGTCGATAAGCAATGATGAGCAAACTAAGTTGTTCATAGGTCAAGTTCTATGGTGGGAGAGTTATCCAGGTTCCTCCATCTTTCCTGTTGATAGTCAATACTGCATATATGAGCCACGAGGTCAACTGGAGGGGGCCTGTCGAGAAAAGAGACCAAACAAATAAAGATTAGGAGTCGAGGGGCGGCTTCCCGATTTAAAGAGAGACAAGGCAATTTGGGTACATGGTTGTTCACGCATGGATAGTGTATGGAATAATCAAGGAAAGCAGAAAAGATAGAAGCGTGCCGCACAGGAGGTAAAGCACGAACATCTCCGCTAGCGGGAATGAAAAGGTACGAGTAATCTACGTTGTTCATATGATGAATTGCATGACATATATACATCACAAGCAGGAGTGAATAGTAGAGGAAGAACAAGAGATTGGCGTGAAAAATCAGTATCGGATTTGAGGAGGTACTCGACCGCCAGGAGCCATGTTGGTGTCTTGATGGATTGTTGACAAAAGTTGAGGTTGCGCAGTGGAAGGAGAAATCGATGGCGGGCCGGCAAGCTTTGCTGTAATTCAACAATGATGAATGTGAATTATCGAGTTAGCAGGGTTGTTTATTTATAGAGAGTAAGTCCCAAACCTGTATGGAGAAGGATTATTTGAGGTCTTGCCACCGCAGGGAAGGTCTAGAGAGTTGGAGTCGTTTGTTTTCTTTCCTTGGTGGAAAAGGAACGAAAATGGATAACAGGTTTGGGGCTCTAAGGACGTTGCAAGAGAGCGCCGCTGTTTAAACAAGGAAGCAGTGCTGCGAGGCAGCACAACCGGCCGTAAAAGAAAAAAAATCAGAAGTGGTTGGTGATGAAAACAGCGTTGCGGGCTAACTCAATGGCGGTTGGATGATATAATCATATAAAAAAGAAAAAAAAACGTTTTGACCAAAACAATAGTGTGGACCAGCCGTGTGTGTGTCAAAATTGTCGTGGCTACAAATGCTGAACGCGCGGCAACGTTGCTGGCAGAGGAAAACGTAGGGTTTCTATGAACAATGGAATTGTTGTGTTAAAGGGTTTAGTGACGTGATCAGTCTTTCTTTGGGCCAAAGCTTAGCAAAGGAGAAGGTAAAGGAACTAGAGCAGAGTCGTTGATAATTTGGAGGCGCCAAACATATATGGGAGTATTTGCGGTATTGGAGAGACTGGGGCAAGCAGGGTTGCAATAGTGATGATTTGGCGACTGCGGAGGGCTCAAGGCAGCATGGCAAGTCATGCCAAGGATGGTGGTAAGTTAAAATTTTCAATTCTAGTTTCATCATGGACACTAGTTTTTAGGGCCAATTGGTTGAATTATTAATTGAGATTATTTTAGGTGTTTTATGTTATGTCAACAATTTGGTTCATAATTCTTATAAACCAAATTGTGGGGGCATTTGTTGACACCTAAAATTAATTTGGCCGAAATTAAATGCCGCATTAATTAGTCTCGGCATTTAATTCGATACCGCGGTAAAAAACGGTGTCGTTTGGAGTCAAGTAGCGCCGCGGAGAGTCAATACAATATCGCGAAATAGAAAAACGGTACCGCAAGGAAGCTCAGTGGTACCGCGGCACTGGAAACGACACCGTTTACTGAAAAACAAAAGGGGCCGCGCGTTTAGTGTGGGTGTTGGGGAAGGATTTTTTTTTTGTTTCTAATTAATTATTATTTTTATTCCTTGTTGGAAGGGGAGTTAAAACGGTACCGCGAATTTAAAAACGATGCCGCGAGAGCCTTGATAAGCGGTACTGATTAATTAAGTGACCAAAATTCGCCCAGCCCAATGCGAGTGCAGACTGGCGGCGGTTCCATGGATTGATATTTTTTGGCTATATTAACGGTGTCGTTTAATTAAAAACGGTACCGCGAGTAAGCCCAATGGTACCGCTATACTAGCAAACGTTTAAAATAAAAAACAATGTCGCAAGAGGAAAAACAAACGGAGCCGTTTTGGCGCTAATGATGTCGTTCGCCAACACACGAGTTGGGCTAGTGATGACCGGATTAATTAATTAATATTTTAATGACTATTTAGGACGGTGTCGTTTAGTTGAAAACGATGCCGCAAGAGGAAATAAACGACACCGCGGATTTAAAAACGATGTCGCGAGTAGGCCAAACGATGCCGCAATGGTTAAAACGATAGTGTTAAATTTAAAACGGCATCGTGAAGTTCAATAGCATCGCAGAACTAGAAAACAATGTTGTTTAATTAAGAACGGCGCCGCGAAATGAGAGTTTGACGGTGTGCCAACAATGATGGCCGATTTAATTAATTAATATTTTAAGGGTTATTTTAGACGGTGTCGTTTAGTCGAAAACGACATCGTAGGAGATATCAACACCGTCGCGGTACCGAAACGATGTTGTTTAATAGAAAACAACGTCGCAGTGGCCAGAGTTCAACAATTGTGGATTTTGGCTCAGTGTTGTTTTGGCCAAGTTTCCGCGTGTCTAAGCGGTTTCGCACTCGTAGGAGTTACGCAACAAGGAGGAAGTTACCTGCACGGTTGACAGGAATGAAGACGTGGGAGACAAAGGCGCGAAGGCAGTTACTACGAAGGGGAAAAGCGCGAAGTATAAAGATAGGGAAGAGAGAGAAGCTGAGGACGGCAAAATCAAATCTCAAACTGCACCGTCGCAGAATTATCAGTTTTTCTCTCTAGTTTCGTAGAACCGCTCTGTCAGAGAAATCCTGTGCAGAGTCGTAGTCGTAGCTTGTAGTCGTAGTCGTGGAGCTCTCCAGAGGAACCTCCATAGGAGTAGAGGTAACATGACTTAGAACACTCCTCGTTCGATTTTCTGGTTATTCGCCGAACACCCTCGTTCGAACGTAGTTTGGAGAGGTGGTGAACCGAATAACGTTTGTTTCAATAGAAGTCAAAGGTGCATCAATCAAATCTACATCGCCGACGCCGACGCCGACGGTGGATATTTGACGGTCGTCTTGGTTTCTGTTCGATCGATCAAATCAACGGCGCCGACATTCGGCGGCGGATAATTTGACTGTTGTAATTGACTTTGTGTTTACTTGAAAACAGTGCGCATCGAACGCGCGAGTTTCGCCAACGAAACAAGTGACCAACTAATCTTTAACTTCATGATCCTCATTGTTCATATTATACGCTACAAAATAGTCATCTTTGACTTCCTTTCAACTGTGTTTTATTTCCATCCAAGATATTATTTATTGAAATCTCTTTCATTTTTTTAAAACAGTACATGTAGTTCTTCTAAGACCAAACCGTTTTCCAATGAAACCGAAAGAACCAATGACCAATATGTTGACTTAATAACTCTATAATAAACATTGAAATTGGTTCATTGGTCAGGCTTAGTAAGAAAATTAGAGGAATAGAAGGGTTGCGCACTGAAGGAAGCGAGATGGGATTGAGCGCGTGCGGGCTGGACTTTGAAAGAAAATCACGAAACAAGTTAATGTTGGCTTTCATATCTTTTTTTGTATCCGAAAAAAGTCTTATCATAGTAGCAGTTCTTGGAGCTTGAGAGCACACCAACACCAGTCTGCAATGAGTACAAAACCCTGGCATTTGGGCGACTCAAAATCATGAACCAAACAAAAAGAGAAACTCACAATGTGTTCCCTACCCAAGCTTGAAAAGGAGAAGGAAACTACACTGGTTTATGTCATATATATTCGTGTAGAAAGGAGCTAGGCATGGGTCAACTAAGAAACAAAAATGGGGGTTAAAAGTTGGTTAATCCTTGTTAAAGGAATCATCTAGCTCTAGCTCCATCCCTGTCCGATTTCTAATGAAGGTAGTAGCATCAAAGGGTGTTTTGCATTTGCACTGCAACTCCTTGAGCCGCTGAACGTTGAAGTTATGCTTCTTGAACAGCTTCCGCTGCCTCGACAGGAACAGCCTCTTCATGAGGTCCTGGTAAGTTGGGTCTCTTGCAGTGAAGAGGAAGTATGCGTAGCCTATCACGATCCCAGTTGTGGTTGTGAAGAATGCAATGGGTTCCATCACATCCCACGAGAATTCCCAGAAAGTGAGTCGGAAGAAGAGGCCTACCTGAACAACAGCTAGCCCCAGGCCTCCCCATAGAATGCGCCGCACCTGTGTATGTGCTAGTACGTCAATTTCTTCCTTCTTTTCCTGCAGAATCTTCAGCTCATCCCTCATCGGGTCGTTCTCAGGTGTTAGGGCCAGTGGAACTGCTCTTCGTATCAGATCTACCACCTGAACCAAAACCAATTTCCGAAGCAAACAGTATGATATCGTTAAGGCTAACTATGAAGAACAATGTGAGACACTAGTTCGCGTATTATTCTAGTTCCGCGACTTAGTACGAGAGTTCAAATGAGCTATTTTGAGTAGGGATTTAGAAGAAGATGCAGTGCAGTGGTCCAATACAGAAGTTATGTCAAAAGGGGAAGCTTGATTGCTTATTGTTGTGCTCAACTCAAATTGCATCATCACTTGGAACTACCCTTATAAAGAAACCTAACAAACCAGACGGTATGAAGGGAGTTTTTGGGGCTTATCAATTGCACGGCTTGGGCAAAAGCCAGAATAACATAGCTGTTTTGGGAGTGAAAGTTGCTCTGATTTTGTCTAGAATAGCAAACTAACTCACCCTATAGAATAGGGTTTGTTTGTGTTCTGGTATCAGAGACATCCTCCTGGCTCCGATAGCAGCCAGTTTCAATGCCAAATGATGCAAGAATCATACACAGTGTGGGACACATTCATTCAAGATAGAAATGTGAATAAAGGGTAATGCTAGAGAATGTGCATTCACATTGTCAATGGCATTAACAGAGCAAATGGGAAGTCCGATATTTCAGTCTACATCAATCAAACCCAGATACACAGAAAGTTAAAAAGGGGGGACGGTAATACCTTATCGGGGTGAAGATAAACCTTGTCCCGGAACAAAAGGACGACGCCGGCGTCGTCAAGGATGCGAGCAAAAGCGACGGCCTCATCTTGAGATCGAGCGACTCCTATGGATCGGCAAGCGGCGAGGAGGTCGTCGTAAGGGATGACTTCCTTCCGTTCCACACCCAGCTTGCTTTTCAGGGCTTCCACGTTTACCAATCTCATCAGCCTCTTCGCCTCCGTGCAGCTCAGTGTCTCATCGCCCTTTTTGTTATTGCTGTAATTACCATTATCCCCTCCCTCTCCAGCGGGCGGTGGCGGTGTCGCCTTGCCGCCGTGGGTAGAGTCGGAGGACGAGGAATAAGAGGAATAGAAGGAGGATAATGAAAAGACGGTTTCGGCTTGTCTCCGCCTTCCTCCGGATACGACAGAAGAAGGAATTGACGATAAGGAGGTCGGGGGAGAAACAAGTGGATGCAATCTCAATACCACTCCTCCACCGCCTATTCCAACCGCGGCGGAGCAAGACGGCGGCCGCCATAACAATCTCCTCCACATCCTTTTGTTGTTTGTTTGTCTTGGCAGGGTTAAGATAAACAGGAATCAGTGACGCCGGCAGTGGCCATGGGTGGTGTGTTGTTACTGGTTATTATTGGGGAGTATTAGGCGTCCAATCTATGCTGTGCGCCATTACCATAGAATCGATATGCTTTCCTTACTTACTGGGGAATGTAAGCAAACCCATCTTTTCAGATTGTTGTATAATAATAAAGAGAAGCTAAAAGAAGAGGAAGAGAGAGAGAGAGGTGTAGGAATTCAATGTGATGGTCAGGTCAGGATAAAATAAATAAGTAATGTGGAAAAGGAAGAAGATTGCAGAAGTGGGAGGCGAACAAGGAAAGTGGGAAAAGGCGGAGAGAAACTAAAAGGGGGGAAAAGAAAGAGAGCAGAGAATCCTTTCCTTTCCGTTTTGCTTGTTGGTGGGTCGGAAATGGAGATCTGAATGAATAACTGCAACCTTTGAAATTGTAGGAGAAGCTCCGGGGAGAAAGCGTGGGCGATCCGAAGGCGAAGTGGGCAACAAACACGCAAATTCTTTCTCTTTCTTTGACCAAGCCCCTTCCTCTAGCTTGTTGTGCCTCAATTCTCACAATTTTCCATCCCACTAATACTACTACAATATCCGAATTATAAAAAATGTTATTTCTAATGTAAACGGTGCATAAATATACAATCATATATGGGATGGGATACGGTGACAACCTCCTTAGAGCATGTTTACTTTCATTTCTGTTTTCTGTTTTTGAGAAAACAAATGTTGAAAACAGGTGAAAACAACATTTTATCGTTTCCGAAAACAGCAGGAAGTTGCCACTTTCTGTTTTCATAGTTGGAAACGAATAGAAAACAGAATGAAAAGTAAACAAGTTTTCTCATTTCGGTTGCCAAATTTATCACATGAAAACAGAAACACAGGAAACGAAAATGGAAGTGAACAGGGCCTAAGGGGTTGTGAGTTTGACAACCCACCTCCTCACCATTGGATACGCCCTCTCTAATGTCTCTTTTTTTTCCAAATTGATGGTTAAGATTAAACGAAGGGTATTTTTGGAATGGAAAAGATTTACCACACACAATCATTTACCCTCCTATATAAATTAAAAACAAAACCCTAGCTCCTCCCACCCCCTCTCCTCCTCCTCCCTCTCTCACGCAACCACCTCCACCGCAGCAGTCCTCCATAGCCGCAACCCTCCACCGCTGCCGCGTCCTCCATCGCAGCAGCCCTCCACCGCCGGCGCCGCCACCCCTCTCTCCCGCAGCAGTCGTCTCCGCAATCCTCAGTTTCCCTCCACCCCATGCCGTCGCAACGTCCCCTCCGACCACCGCGGCGCAATCATCCTCTCGCCGTCGGAGCCCTCTCGCCGCCCTTCGTCTCCCACCACTGCCGCCGTCGCGAGGTCACCCTCTTACTCCCCTTTTCTAGATCTGGTTTTTTAGTGGTACCATTTTTCTTCTGGTCGCATACCAGTGATAGTGGTAGCGTACCACTATCATCTGGTACCACTACCATATGTTTTTTTGTGTTATTCTCTACTGGTACGCTACCAATGCTAGTGGTACGATACAATATGATAGTGGTAGCGCTGTACTGGTAGCGTACCACTAGCACTGGTACATTTTTTAACGCACTGGTAGCGTACCACTAGCACTGGTATATTAATTACCAGTAGACTAATGGATTGGTACACTTTTGAACGCACTGGTACATTTTTTCAGGTTACCGGAGGGAGTCTGCCGAAGAGAATTCGCCGGAGAAAAAGTCTGTCCGTCGATGCGGAGTTGCCGTTGGAGAAAGGAAGAGAGAGAGATAGATAGAGATATTAATGTATAGGATTTAAATTTAAAAAAAGTATTTAATATGGGTTTTTATTTCCCAATATAATTGATACAAAAAGGTAATTAATATATTTCTTTTTTTCATACCCAAAATACCATTGGTTGTCAATCTGACAACTCCCTTAGGGGTTGTCACCGTATCCCGTCCATCATATATGACTTCTTAATTTTGAGTAACGGCATATTTAATTAAAAAGATTTATATTTTTCTATTTTTTAACGATTTATATCTTTTTTATTTTACCTTATATCTTGTTTATTTTCATAGATTGAATAATTCGTTGTGATTACAAAATTATAACAATTTTCAATATATTTTTTTATCACTAGTTATCACTCTATACCACATGATTCCACTTCGTAACCAACCAAGTAAGCATTCTATCTCGAGATATAGAATACTTCGACCATAAAAGCTTTGCCCACTCAACAACAATGTGATGAGTTATGAGTACCTCCCACATTTTCTTCATTGTTCTTCTCCATTCTCATACCCATCCAACTCACACTACCAGGGCCTTCCACATACATTCTATATTGAAACATGCCCTGATCTTCCGCAACTTACTCCAAATTCACTAGCCTGACTGAGTTTTATTCAAGCTTCAAAAGCTTATGCCTTTGAGCTTGTAACGATGTAACCAAGCAACCTAGGAGGACCCTCTCTCAAAAGCAATAGCCAAGTCAACCTCCATGCTCATGCAATATTCCAAGTTGTGAGATTCTTCAAACCTAGTTTTCCCTCTATTTTCGGACGATTAATAAGGCTCCATGATAACTTAGCACGCCCAGATTCTTGCCCATGCCAAAGAAAATTAAAAAAGGTAAATACTATTTTTCAGTCAAACCTTTTTTCAATTTCAAAATATTAGCAAAACCTATTATAATACTAATTATTAGCCAAACCTTTTGAATTATGTCAAATTATTAGCTCTCATTCCGTTACCGTTAACTATTTTTAACAATACTCCAACTAAGCAACCACGTCAGCATCCACATCAACATCAAGTGATCCAGCTCAGCATCCAACAATGTCCATGTTAATCGAGGATCCCCAGGGTCAAAGTGGGCAAAAAAAAGTCTGAGTAACCTTAAATATAACAAGCAGTCCGATGATTCCAAGATGAATCAGTCCAACAAATTCAACCCATTCGGAGTAGAAATAGGCCTAGAACAAAGGGCAAAGGCGGTGATTAAGTCCAAATTTGACTTGGAGACTCCTGGAAGGCTGGAACCATCTAGAAGCTTCCCACTGACTTCCTCCTTTACTTGACCTAGAGAATGAGCCACTTGATGGCTGATTTTATGTCAAAAACTTGCACGCGATTCAAGAAAATTTAAGTTTGGAAAGTACGGGTTTTTGTGTAAGACACCACATTGTTTATAGACAATTTTCTCCCTCCTGCATCTGCTTCTCAAAGTTTAATGAAGCCGTTGTGAGTCTCTAACTATGAGTAGGAGGAAGTGGAGGCAAATAAGGAAGAATTCATTATTTCAAAGGAAGCTCTTGGTGGAATTTTTATAGAAATACCACCCTAAAATTAAAAAATTCCAAAAATACCATCATTTCCCTAAAATTTCCAAAATACCACCATTTCTCAAAAATTGTGGCCGCCTATGGCATTTTACAAAAGGACAACAGAGGGTGCCGCGGTTTTCATTTTGTGTAATACCCGCAGGGGGTGGACGCAGTTAATTTGCAGACACCCCCCCCCCCTCCTGCGGTTTGATTTGAATTTTTTTGTCCGATTAATGCCTAATTTTTTTGATCCCACATGACTTTTCAAGATTTTGCAAGTCGCACAACTTTGTCCCGAAAAAATATCGTTTGCTACCATGAACGAGCAATTTTTCAATTTCGCCAAACTTTGAAATGTCATAACTTTGTGCTCCGGAACCCGAACATCATAAAAAAATATTATTCAATATAAATTTTGAAGGAATCCAAGTTTTACGAGGAAGGAATTTTCAAAATAGGAAATATTTTTGGATATAAGGGGTTTTGGGTATAACTTTGGCTTTACTTTTCACAAATCTACATACATTCTAAAAAGGTTATGTGACATCCTCTTGACGGGTTTCTGGATCACCATGACGGGTTTCTGGATCACCGTCATCTACATTACAATCTTCTCTCTCTCGACATCCTCTTGGCGTCAAAAAACTATGAGGTAAGTACCCACTACTCTTAGATTTATCTAGGAGCGTGATTCGTTAAACTTGGTACTTCAATTTCCTATATGTAGTATGATCTAATAGGCATTGATTTTGTTTGAATCATAATTTTAGTGTAAATTGCAAGTTTGGTCACTGGATTTACTAAAAATTTTACATTTGGTCACTAAAAGTATTTTATTTCATTCGTGTTCACTAAGACTAGTTGAATAGTTCAAGTTTGGTCACTCTTTGTTAGTTTCCATTAAGTTTATCTTATGTGACAATCAACTTTGATAGTTGCCCGTTAAATTAGTGACGCGACTACAAAAAATTAAATAATAAAATTTTAAAAATGTATTTATATCATAGACATATGGTGTACAAGATAGATCTTATTACAATATATAATAATAAACGCTAGTCGATACTAACCCATCTATCTATTAAATAGCTTCTTTTTTTTTTGCCACGCAATGGGTAGCTATGCTAGTTACCTGAGAATAAAGCAAAAAAACACTAAAAGCCCATAAAATTATATAATCTTCACTTTGCCAAGGCGAAAGCCAGTGCCTTAAGCTCCACCTGATATCACCGAGAATCTTATGGAGATACCGCAAGTGAATTGAAGTGCCCCACCATGCCCAAAACCCCATGCGAGAGGAAGTTCCACTACACCATTGTTGAAGGCACCGAGAAGACATTGCCAATAAAGTCATTTGTCGAAGGGCGAGCATGAGCAGGTCAGCCCAAGAATCTGCAAGCCAAATTGAGTCCCCTACAAAATGAACAACCAACGGGCCCGACAACACCTGCCAATGAGTTGGAACCAAAGCCTACGCATGCAGAATAGATAGATACCCAAATGATCTAGGAATCCTCCATGACAAAGGATTGGGATAAGGTTAGAGTCGTGCCCTTCACACCGCTACTTCTGGGCATAAGGATTGCGACCACCTCCTTTTCTTCTTCAAACAGACAGGATATTGTAGCAGGGTCGCCGACAAGTTTGTAGTGGCTGCCATCAGATACCGAAAAAGCAAGGAGAAGAACGAATGATTACGCAGGAATTGATATGAGAGCACCGGTCAGAGGACAGGAGGATCGGTGTGGCGGAAAAGGCGAAGCTAGCGGCAGGGAGAGACGGACTAAGGCGCCAAAGGAGACGAAGGGGCGGAGATCGCGAATAACTTCTCTCAGTTAATTCTTTAACCCAACCTTGCATGCAACTTTTCCCCTAGCATATAAACCTTCATTCCACCGGGGGAAATGAAGAATAACATGCCCAAATTTGATTTAAAAAGAGAGCATCACTTGTAGTAAACAGAGACCCAAAATTAAAAAATTGAAGAAGACTCTAATAAGATATTAGATTTGCAACTAAAGGAATGAAGAGCGAAGAGGCTGAGAAGCAGCCCGAGAGAAATTGTTGAGAAGTTGAGAAGCTGAACCGGAGAGACCGACGGCAGGAGGCCTACTCCATCTATTCTTTAGGTAGACTTTCAACGAAGGTCAAAAGATGGCGTCGAAGTGGAGCGTGTTGACGTCATGTGCTTGCTGCAAGGAACAAAAGCACAAGAAACAAAACAAAGTGACGGGGAAGGTGGGTGGGTGTGCGCGGGGCAAAGCCTCTAGAGGAGGGAGGAGAGTACCTAAACTAATAAATAATTTTCTATAATCCCTCACCTCATTTTCACAACTATTAAATAATAAAATCATAAAAATTTCTTATAATTAATAAAATTTTGATAATTATATATTGATAAAAAGGAATTATTTTCAATTTCAAATATCTAAAATCACATTTTTTTTTAATTTTTTATAATTATCTAAAATTTTATTTATTAATCTATATTTTTATAATTAATTAGAATATCTTATGAATAGTTTAAAATTATAATAATTAAAATCATTAAATGAATTAAAATTTAGGTTTTCATTATAAATTTATAGTTTATAGAAATGATTCATAATGAATAATAACCTACTTATTTAATCTATTTTTATTAATTAATTACAATGCAAGATAATTTATTAAAATTCAAAATAATCAGTTATATTTGAAATTGAATTAATTTATATTGAACTGAAATATAAATCGATTTGTCCGGCAGACCGAACAACTGTTGACTGTGGTTGACAAGCGGGCCAAACGATCGTTGATCTTTATTAACCTAATGGCGCGAATGATTTTCCTATTCATTCCAGCCTAGGTTAAAGCGAAAGTTGAATGCCTTCGAACAAGGAGTGAAACGAATCAAAATCTCGTTTACACTGTCGGTTGAACCCGATTAACGATTGTTCGTTCGCCGAACAAACCTCTGTATTTATTTGTTTCGTACCTTTTTTCTCTAGTCGAATTCTACGATGGTTCAGAGGAGATGAAGCAGCGGTGCGGTCTCGTTTCTCTCACGTCTCTCGTGACCATCGCCTTTAGCAGGTTCGGTGACAAGCGAGGAACGCCATGTTCTTCATCTTCTTCAGGGTAAAATTTCTTGGGTACCACTTAAGTTTGAGAATTGGGGCAGACATACCACTTAAGTTTGAATAGGGCATGGTTGGTCATTGAGATTACAAAAAACGTTCAAGTTTGGTCACTCGAAATATTTAAATTCTTTGGTGGCACTTCAGTTTACTGAAACCGTTCATGTTTGGTCACTCTCCGTCCAACTCCGTTAACTTTTGCTTACACGGCAGTCAACTCTAAAAGTTGACCGTTAAATGTGTGACTGCCCCGTAAGCAAAAGTTAACGGAGTTGGACGGAGTGTGACCAAACGTGAACGATTTCAGTAAATTGAAGTATCATCAATGAATTTAAATATTTTGAGTGACCAAACTTGAACATTTTTTGTAATCTTAGTGACAAAAATACAATTAACCCCTCAATTAATTTTACCGAGTTATATCTATTTTATTTTAAGTCACAATTTCATTTTTTTCACACATATATCAAATTTATTGTACCCTTAAAAATGGCTATGATAATATTTTGTAACAAAAAAAAATGGAAAGGAACAAAGACACATTTGATCTGAAACGCCAGTAGATGTACGAGCTTTCATCTGCGAGTAGACGAACTTCAGCTCCAAGCCTCCAACCCTTGTTCTACGGAATCTCCAAGTGAAGATCGAAAGCTGGTTCGGGGACCAGTGACCAGTCCAGCACCGCCTAGGCGGCAGAGTACTCACCAGTCACCAGCGTCGCGATGCCCGCCATCTCTCTCTTCCTTGCTCTACGTCTTCGACGGTAATCCTCCTCTCCACCTCCTCCCATATCTCTCTGAAATGTTCTCTTCTCCCTCCTGGTTGCCCGAGTAACTCTGCGTTTTTCGCTGCCCCTTAGGGTTTGGTGGAAACTGGGATTCTCACTTACCTCTCGGAAACTTTAGTAATTTCAGAATCACAGGCGGCTGCTGCCAGTTCCTCCATCCTCCTTTGGCGGCCGAGAAACTGATATTTGGGCGATTTCTCACTTCATCAGTTCCGGGAGGCGAGCAAGCCGTTCTCGATGAAGAAGATGAGTTCCGCAGTACTGGCCAGGGCAGTAATGGCGACGACTTGCGCAGCAGGATTTTGAGGCTGAGATTACCAAAGCGAAGCGCCACCAATGTCATTGAGAACTGGGTCAGGGAGGGGAATCCGGTAATGTCCTCTGAGCTACGAGCAATCTCCAGAGAGCTCCGCAAGTCTCAGCGATATAAGCACGCGCTCGAGGTTCGGTCCTCTGGTGCAACTTTCTAATATTCCCATTTCTTACATTGGCTCTGCTGAATTTATGACATAGGGAATGTTTGCATTCTTTTGGCAACATGGTAGAATTAGTCTCTAGCTAGATGCCTAACATTGGTATAGGAAACATTAAACCTGGAACAATTTAGCAGACTTGACGGAGAACTTCGAATGAATATCTCTTGGTCACTGTTGCTCAATTCGGGTAGTGTCTCAATTGATATGTACCATGATTTGTGTTGTTTCCTTTTTATTATGAAAATGTTGGGAGTTGTCTGTTCTTCGTAACTGGATTCGAATGCTCAAAGGCTATGTTACATAGAAATGGTGGAATGCCCAATCTAATTTCTATTTACATGGTTGTAAAATCTTTCTCACCGCTCTTGATCCTTTATATATTGTTGACAATGATATGGGCTTATCTTGTCATATTGTTTGCAACAGATTTTTCAGACCGTTTGCCTTTTTCTCTCTATTTAATTTGGCTCTACAATGACAATTTCTGTTGTGCTTCCTGTTCAGTTATCAGAGTGGATGGTTTCACAAGAACGGTTTGAGTTGCTAGACTCTGATTATGCGACCCGGATTGATTTGATGACCAAAGTCTTTGGAATTGATGCTGCTGAACGCTACTTTGAGAGTTTACCACTGGCAGTAAAAACTGCAGAGACTTATACTGCGCTTCTTCACTCTTATTCTGCAGTGAAAATGATTGACAAGGCTGAAGAACTTTATGATAGAATGAAGGAATCAAACTTGTCTTTTTCAGCTGTGACATACAATGAGATTATGACTTTATATATGTCCGTTGGGAAGCAGGAGAAAGTTGGCTCAGTGGTTCAAGAACTCAAAGATCGGAAGGTTACTCCTGACATATTTACTTACAATCTCTGGATAAGCTCTTGCGCTGCGAACCTAGATATTGATGAAGCCAGAAGGGTCTTGGATGAAATGAGGCGCAGCTCTGGTTGCAATGATGACTGGTTAAGATACATCAGAATTGTCGGATTATATTTGACAGCGGGTAATTTGTTCAATGCTGAGTCTAGTTGTGCTGTTGTTGAAGCTGACAAAAGCATTACTCAAAGAGACTGGATTACATATGACTTCCTCGTCATCCTGTATGCCAGTTTGCAGAACAAGGAGATGATTGATCAGATATGGAAATCCTTGAGAATGACTAAGCAGAAAATGACAAGCAGAAACTATGTTTGCATTCTTTCCTCATATTTGGTGCTGGGTCATTTGAAAGAAGTGGGGGAAATTATAGATCAGTGGAAACTCTGTGCTGATACCGAGTTTGATGCCTTTGTATGTGGTAGGCTTTTGAATGCATTGTATGGCAATGGATTGACTGAAGTTGCTGATACCTTCCACATTCTTTTGATCGAGAGGAACTGTGATCCTACTAATGGATTGGAAGAGAGATCGTCGTAAGGCCAAGCAGTTATGCAGCTGGGTGGGACTTCTTTCGGGTTGCTGATGGCTATCGTGATTTCAACCACAAGTCCTTCCATGTAGTTTTATAAATCAGCTATCAGGTGCTTACTAACTTGATCTCCCTATCAGATAACAGGTGAAACCTGAAGTTTTGATGTAAGAATAAAGTTAGTTTATTTTGCAATATGAACAAAATCATTTCATATGGTTGGAAGGACGCCGTTTTATTTAATGGAAGTATATACCCACTGGCTGTTAGCTGTGTTTGTAACTTCGTCTCACTTTGTTTGAGCAATTGAAATTCGGTTTACTAAAAGCTTCCTAAATCCCCACAAGCATCTTTAAGCATTCCTTGATGGACGAGATCAAGGTGAATGGCTTCCTCAAGAAGCCATCCGAGTAGGGATGATAAAAGTATGCGTAACCGTGGATATCCGTCCGAATCCGGCCTGATCGGGTAGGGTAAAACCCGTACCGTAGGACATTTAGTGAGTACGGGTAAAATTCGAACCCGAATATTGTGGGTAATGGGTGGGCATGAGTTTCTCACTATCCAACCCGAACTCGCCCGATTATACACTTGCATATGTATTTTGTCTAGATATAATCATTATTTTTCTCTAACATATTTAATATTTAGTATATAAATATAATATTTTCATGAAATTGTGTTGTTTTAATTAATTTTCATGAAATTGTAATGTAAGAATACGTGTGAATCTTAACATATTGGTTAGAGTTGTGAAGAGAAATGATTACCCATGGATAACCGTGGATACCCGAAACCCGAATGGATATGGGCATGGTTTTGATGTTCTACCCATTTCACATATGGGTGGTATGGGTAAAACCCGAACTACTTTGAGTAGAGTAACGAATATGCACTATTCGTGCCCAACCCGACCCATTGCCATCCCTACATCCGAGCCAAACTCTTTTCATTTTCTTAAGCGGCCAGTGGCGGAGCCACTTGAAGAGGAGGGGGTGCTTTGCACCCCCTTGGGTTTGGAGAAAAAATTTCCGAGTAGGGGTATATACAAATTCCAACCAATGACCATTCAGTTGCAGGAAGAATTTCTTATCATTTCGATCGAGTGAGTTTTGTTATGTAATGCACTTTCGTCTTTATTTATAGTAATAAATTGTTGTCTTTTGTTTAAACTCGCTCATTTTTTTTTTTAGCTCTACAACAGAGAAATTTCTTGTCTTTTGTTTAAACAAAGTTGAAAGTGAAGAAGTACCAATTGAAGTTCACTTGTTTGTTTCACAAAATCAATTCCAAGGTACTTCTGAGTTCTAATTTGTAATATTTGATGAATGGAAGTCTTGATTTGTATGTACTGAACTTATTTGTTTGACGTTGTAACCGGTGTACGTGAAACTATTTTGATGTAATTGTGTGAATTTAGAGTAATGCGTTGTTGACTTTTTGTTTAATTTAAAGTTGACTTTTCTATTGTATAGGTGATCTACACATAATATAATACACCGAAGGGAAAAATGGGAGCCCCATTTCAAATTTCCTGCAACGAGAGTGAAAGTAGGAAGGACATTTTGGTCTTCACACTTACTTTTTTTAATTCATTAAAAAGACATGTAGTGGGATTCGAACCATGACCATTTTAAGGAAAAGTAAGGATCATAACCAATCACACTAAGTACATTTGTTGCATCTTTTTAAATTAAAAAGATATAATAGCAGAGAGGAAAAAACCCTTTCCCCCATTTCAAATTTCATGCTCCAGGAGCGTTTGTAGGAATGATAGAATAGGGAGTGTCAATTTTTTCCTCTTTCCTCTGTGGAACGGGCCAACTTACCGTACACATGCGGATTTAAACGGGTTCAAGAGTGTCAATTTTTTCATTAAGCCCTTTTATTTCTCCGTGGTGATAAAATATATATGAAGAGGCAAAAACAATACTTCTTTTTATTGCTAAAAATAAAAAATTTAACAATAAACTAATGCATGGTATCTAATGGGCTAACCGCTAACTATAAAATAAAAGAGTTGAATTGGTTGACCTACACGGGATTTGGCCATCAAGTAAAACAAATGAACATCATTGGTTTGACATTCTAAAACAAGCTATTTTCTCTGGCATAATATATTATGCTATTATTTTATATCTTAGTGGCTAAATTATAATGTATTTTAAAGTTATTCAATGGTTCAACCTCGACCAACCCAATTAGTCCAATTTTTATCATTTCAAATATATATTATATAATTATTTGATATCATAATGATCAAATCATAGTGTATTTTATAGGGAATCGTTTGGTATTTGTTAGTAAAAAACTAAACAGAAAGATCTATTTGGTTATTTTAAACATTAAAACGATCCTAACATTTTCAGTTCCTTTTGAATTTCTATGGTTTTATTCCCGAATAAGTGATGTGCAAATGGCAGTCATCTCTTTTCTTTCACTATTTTTTATTTTCAAATAAAAAGTTTAAAAGTAAAGAATAATTAGAATTTGGCATGGGTCGGTCAAACAGGCTGCATTTCAAGTTTTGGCCCCTTTTGATCAAGTCTAATTTATAATCACATGGTTCCCTGATACCCGATAAAAATCTCAATCCAAACCAGTTTGGCAGGTGAGTCCGTGTTTACCACCATTTTCTAGGGATACGACAACGACGGTTCATATCCCAAATCGTGTTGTTCGTTCTTGATTTCCTTAGATTTTATCATGGCCTGAAAAAAACCAGAAAGCACAATGACGACAAGATGAAAGTTTTATAAACCAAATTAATCGGCCAACGGGCCGAGTAAAAGCTAGCAACGATTGTGAGATGCTCATTTCCCGAAAACCGACGGGATAGGCGATTTTTTATTCGATTTTCTGGAATTCAGTTTCTATAAAACTTACTCCACCTCATCATATTGCCAGAAACAATATTGTTTCACAAGGTAACATGTACTTGATTTTGGTTCATAAGGCCGATTTTTGATTTGTTGCATCATTAATGTCTCTTTCCTGCTAAAATTCACTATTTTTATCACGTGTTTCCCAAAAAAACTATACAACAATAAGTTATACACCCCATTACATTATCAAATTTCATACCTCACCTTCCTCTAGGGATGGCAACAAAACACGAACCCACGGGTACCCACCCGACCCAACCTGGTCAACGCGGGTAAAATCCGTGTTGACGGGTTTTGGGCCGGGTTTGGGTTTAAACCCGTTCAATATTCATCGGGTTGGGTTTGGGTTTAGGTAAACCCGACCCATGGGTACCCGCCCACACCCATATAATTAATTTTCTCGATATATTTAATATTCTAAACAACTTATCTTATTTATGTTTGTGGAGACATGTCTAATTTTTTCTTTCTAATTGTGCAGAATGAAGTTGATGTTATCGAGTGGAGAGTGAAGAAACTTAATTGAAAGGAAGAAGCTTTCAATTAATCATGTTATTTATGGATAATTTGTTATTTGCTTGAATTTTCAAGAATGGTATTTTATATATGGATAATTTGTATTGAGAGATTGATATTTGACTTTAATTTTGATAGGAACTTGTTATTGTAAATTTTTTAAGACAAAAACCTGTGGGTACCCATGAACCCGCGGATACCCAGGGAGTTGAGTTGGGTTTGAGTTTTTCAAACCCAGTGGATTTTACCCCGAATTTTTTTCACGGATAAACCCATGGATTTGAATTTGAATTTGGCAAAACCCGACCCAACCCGACCCATTGCCATCCTACCTTCCTCCGGCCAACTGGCTGGGGCCCACACTAGTTTTTTATGATATGATAAAGACACCCCCTGGCCAATTTCCTGGCTCCGCCACTGTAAGCGGCATGGAAGCAGTGGTTGAATAATCAACCACCACACCATCACTTCATAGAGAGAAATTCTTGAGTATACTTTCCTCCTAAGACCGCTAGTAAAGAAACCAAATCTCAAACTTTTGCTAAGAAGTTGGCGCACCCTTATATGAGGCATGAACTTGCTAATTATGTGTTTTTTTTTCCATTAATGACCTTGTGGATAAGTCATGGATGGTACCACAAACACTTTGATATCTGCGTTGACTTAAAGACTAACGAGATACATGAAATCGTAAAGATCACTATATGAATTAGCACTGGGCCCCGCCGGTTGGCCGAGAGAGTTTCAATGAAAAATATAAAATTGATACAATAGATGCCCAACAATTATTATAATATAAATAGCGCCTAATTGGTATAAGGGGTTTGGTGGGCTACGCAGAGGTCCACCGTAAGAATCTGTGCACCCTTTTTATCCGTGCTAGGTTATATTCTTCCTTCTCCCGTGGAGAAATCCCTACGTGATAGGACTGGTGATTAATTGAATTTTTCGGTGATTGAGAATATGTCTTTATAGCAGTGTTATAATGTCGTTGGCATGTCGGCGGGTTGAATAATCGGTATCATGAAATCCATATGAATACCACCTGTATAACATGCATGATTGATTTCTGACATTTAAACAGTCGTTTTAGTGAATTAAATCGATAAAAATTTAACTTTTTATTTATTTCGTGAATTAGAAAGTTAAATGTTGATGCTATTTGTTGAATTCAAGTATAATTGTCTTGAAATATGCTTTATATATGCTTAAATTCACTTGATGTGAAATGATTTTTCACATATTTTGTTAAACCGTTATGAACCTGTTGGACTCCGGTGGAACCGCTACCACCTGCTATATCGACCCAACGAAATAAACCTGTTTGCAACGTACAACTGAAAAATACATGGAAGATTTAAAGGTGAGATAACAATTAGGATGTAATTTTAGAAAGGAACGGAGTTGAGAGAAGTGATTTTATCATCCTATTACATCATCACCCTACAAAGTCTTTCATCTCACAAACTAAATATACATCCATCCAAGCAATTATGTCAATATTCACCAAATGCTTGAGTAATCACTAATTCACTATCATCTGGATATAATACGATTTTACATAGTGCATGAGGACATTAATAATGTTATCAATATACGATCTCTATTCACTTAATGGAGAGTCCTACCATCTCCAGTACGCCTTCCATATGTACATCCTCTTTTTCTATCCCGAGAACTTTCGACATTTCTCTCCGATGACCGTTGGCGACTAGGCAAGTAGTCGTTTACCTCCATCTTCGATTCCCCCAATCCATAGACAAGCTAGCAGCGACTGTGATGGTCCGATTGGCGGCTAGGCAAGCAGTGGTTGAATTGCATCTCGATTGAAAAATGGGATCCATTATGTTATTATATATATCTTCCAGTCTTCCTTCTCACGACCCAAGTATCAGAGGCAACATGCAAGGGAATGAATGGAAGTTATGCGGCCAAGTGTCAATGGCCATCTATCCATTTGTAGAGCAAGGAATTGCTACGTGGCCTATAATGGGAATGTGAGTGGGGTTCTTGCCTTGCGTGGTTTCACTCCACCTT